GTGTCTGTTTTCTCTGCTTCAGGTCCTCTCTACATGGTGTCTTTAGAGAACAAACCCAATGTGACGGAGTTCATCCTCCATGGACTGACACAAGATAAGACAGTAGCAAAAGTGTTCTTCTCATTGTTCTTACTCTTCTATGCCACTATCATTCTTGGAAACCTGCTTATCATCGTTACTATAAAGACAAGTGGACAGCTGAACTCTCCCATGTACTTCTTCCTGAGCTACTTGTCTTTTTTAGACATCAGTTATTCTACTGTCACAGCCCCCAAACTCATTCATGACCTCCTTGTTGAGAAGAAGACCATCTCTTTTGGGGGCTGCATAGCTCAACTCTTTGCGGGCCATTTCTTCGGGTGCGCCGAGATCTTCCTTCTCACAGTGATGGCCTATGATCGTTGCATTGCTATATGCAAGCCACTTCATTACACAAATATTGTCAACAAGCGTGTCTGTGCCTGGTTGGTGGCAGCTTCTTGGGTAGGAGGCTTCGTGCACTCCATGGTGCAGACCCTGCTGGTCGTTCAGCTGCCGTTATGTGGGCCCAATGAGATCGACCACTATTTCTGTGATGTTCACCCTTTACTGAAGCTGGCCTGCACTGACACCTACATCGTTGGCGTCACTGTGGCTGCCAATAGTGGTGTGATTTCCCTGAGCTGTTTTGTTGTTCTTGTTGTGTCCTATGCTGTTATTTTGGTTTCTTTGAGGACACGCTCTTCTGAAGGGCGCCTCAAAGCACTCTATACCTGTACCTCCCACATCACTGTTGTGGTTCTCTTCTTTGGGCCATGCATTTTCATCTATATGCGCCCATCCACCACCTTCTCAGCTGACAAGATGGTCTCTGTGTTCTACACCATCATCACGCCTATGCTCAATCCCTTGATCTACACCCTCCGAAATGGAGAGGTGAAAAACGCCATGAAAAAGTTGTGGAGCAGAAAAGTGAGGTGGAGTGAGCAATGAAACAGCACCCTCCCACGGGGAGGGAAACAGAAGTGCTCAGGAGAGATTTCCCCGTAACTTTGCTCTGCTTTTAGCACAGCTGTTCAGAATAGGGTTGACACTACATATAACTCGTCTTTGGAAACTGTCAGTCAAAAGGATGTCAGGTTATTGTCAGCTACCAGACCTGAGCATTGGGGGTGATATTGTGGTATTTACCTTCAGGCACCTCATAGCTGTATTTTTGGTTATTTGTCTAGGCTTCTCCCCACATTAGGAGAAACAACCAAGTATTTTGAGAGGTTGTTCATTGCTACTAGGTCCTAAAAGCTTTAGAGAGTAACATCTCCTTACATTTTATATTTCTGCACAAAGGGGTGATGGTGGTACCAAGTTTTTCAGTACGGCACAGCATCGGCATCTTCTCTTTCACATATCTTGATGTGATAACATGAGCAAGCCACTGAGGAAAGCCAGCAGCCTTTGGGTGGATGAGACTCATTTCATGGTAAAATAGGACCATGGGAGAAGTAGGAGGTTGTATTAGATCTCCGCACAACACAAAGAGATGGCAGATTGTACTGAAATGCCAGCAAAAAAATAAACACCAATATGGAAATATTAAAAATGTTTTCCAGGCAGAGCTTCCTATTAGCTGGAGTGTGAAATTTCAGTCAGACAACCTGCAGCTACTCCGTGGCCCGTTCAGCTGGGAAATGGTGGCCCAAGGTGTTGGCAAAAATTGATTGTTGCCTGCTGCTGGAAGCGATCGTACCATTGGCATTCCCTTTCTGCTTCCTGTAAAAGCCTTGTTAGGAATGCCACAGTTTCATATGCTGAATCCATGAGTTAGCTGGTGCTGGGCACAAGTTTGGTCATTTGCTGACACTGATAACAAGAGGGGAATCTTCTCTCCTTCCCCCGTCGGTGCAATTTCCAGTAATAATAATTCCTATGATTACAGCTTAATGTCAGTACCATGATTCAAAAGCTCACCGAGCTAATAGTTAAAAGCTTTTCTACAATGGTGAATCTGAGTGTTCCCATTTTTATGTATTTGGTACTTTCTGGGGAACGTGTTATCTGCTTCTGTTTTGTTCTCCCTCCTGCCCGTGGTTCCTCAAACACTCATAATCTCAGCCATCCAGTGACAACAAAAAGACATGCAAATTAAGGCCTAGGTTCAAAAAAAACCCTCCTCTACTACACCCTAAATTATGGCTGTTCTTTCTTAGATTAATTTCATTTAAAGGAGCTCTTCTGTCTAATGCCTTTCCAAGACCTTGAGTTCATGCCATAGGTGACCTTTATAATCTGTCAGGGCAGCAATCCAAGTGTGGTTAAAGACCGTAGACAGCAACTGATCCACAATCCAGTGGAATTATAAGAATAGTTTTCATAGTTTGATTTAGACACTGGATGAAAAGTCTTGTTTTGGCCAGTACTCTGGAGCTATTACATTGGTATTATATAAGGGATATGTATCTCAGTGCAAATACAAGAATTAAACGTTTCTCCATGCTGAAATACAACCAAGTTCCTAGATCAACACAGAAAACATTCCTCATCTTCTTAATAAAAACCCTGGAACAGGCTGCCGAGAGAGGTCATGGAGTCCCCTTCTCTGGAGATTTTCAAGACCCGCCTTGATGCAGTCCTGAGTAATGTGCTCTAGGCAATCCTTCTTTAGCAGGGGAGTTGGACTAGATGATCTCTAGAGGTCTCTTTCAACTCTGTCAAACCCGTGAATCCATGAACCCATGAATCCATGAATTTATGTTTCTATTACTAGAGACTTGGGTGGTTTTTTTCCATACCAATGGCTTCCGAGTGCTTAGAAGTGTGTGGTGTCTTATCCTTTCTTTACCAACCTTCAGGACTCCGTGCACAGAAGGTCATTGAGCAAATTGATGTGCTGTTGCACACCAAGGGACTCAGCCAACAAAACTGTTTAATAAGGCCCTCGGGTAGCTGCTTGGAGTTACACAGTTCTCACAGGTCCACCTCCGCTGTGGAAAACTATCTTTTGCCTATGTTTAGGAGTATTTATATGTTGTGTTGGGGTGGGATGACTTTAGGGAGAAGGAAGGCGCAGGAAACACAGAGGTCAGTTCAGAAAGCCTTGGAGGGGTTGCCTCATTGGATCTCCCTGTCTAAATGATAAGTGGAAAACGGAACACAGATGCCATCACAGTAACACTTGCCTGTAACCTGTCAGGAAAAGAAAAATCTCTTGAAAACTTGGAATAAGAAACTTAAACAAGAGCAAGGATATGGCAATTAGAAGCAGGAGGAAGAAGAGTGGAACAATGCCCTGACCTGTTGGGTGAATAACTTGAAACAGATTTGGAGAGAATGATTTAAAATGCTTTCAGAGAAGAAATGCTCAGGAGTCCAGACTTCAAAGTTCATGTTGTATCAACATTTAGTAACTGGGTACGGTAGAAACCATTTTTTCCTCTCCTTTGCTGATGTTCTTCGTATCGGCCCTGGAGTATTAAAGTACATGTGTGTGGTTGTGTTTGTTTATGTGAAAAGCAGAGAGAAATGCTTGGTAATCTGTTGAAAAATATACAGGAAAATATAAATACCGCTGTGACATTTTAGTCATTTGGATCCTTCAGGGCAGCTTCATTAAATGTTGATTGCATCGTAGACATCTAGCTTGGGCAGGTACCTGCTCTGCATTTATACTCAAGGACAGATGTACTATGGTATAAGTCCTCACTGTAGTGTAATGATCTAAACAAGGTAAACCGAGTCATGGCTTTAAGGTGTTTATTCCTCTTTGTTGACTATACAGGGAGCCAGAGGTGTAATGCTCAGACTGTGATGCCTGTTCTGCAGGTCTCTGTCTAGTAAAACGTCAGGAATCAGTATATAGTTCACCTTCTCTGCAGCTGTGATAGCTCTGAAAAACTACCGAGCCCTTGGGAAAGGGCAGAGAGGAAAAAGTGAGATCATTTCCAAACTAAATGCTGTGATTTACAGACATATATTCTGAATTATGGACGAAGCAAATCTGTTTGATGGGAAAGAGAAACAGCTTTTGAGAAATAGCATGAAGTGGTAGAGAATAGAGCAGGACCTGAGGGAAGTGTTCAGGTATTAGCAAAAGGCAACAGAGGCATCTATGAAAACCAGACGCTGTTTTCTTGGTAGTAATCCCCTACTTCCTGACCTGTAAACTCTTAGGCAGAAATGAGAAGCTGAAGAATTTCCGGGTGTGACTGTAAATTAAAATGAGCTGTGGTCACCTTTTAACCTCCACAAGACAGTGAGCCTGTTTGTCTTCTGAAGAACTTTAAAAAGTGAGTGACCAAGAGTAGAGAAACTGTGTGGAGTTGTGCAGCTTCTGCTATTTCAGAAAATAGAATTTCTTCAGGAGAGTGTGTTCTGTTAACTGCAGACCTAAGAGAACGCTCAAGCTCCTAAAGAGCTGCCACTTCAGTGGAGAGGAATAGCAGCAGAGAACCTCCCAGACATGGTTTCTCTGCACGTATTTCTAGTTTCGGAGTGGACAAGCTAAGAGGAGAGCCTTTTTGTCAATTTAGAGGAATGCAATTAGGAATAGAACATGGAAGAGCTCATGGTTGGGCCATATATTGTAGACACGGTGCTTGAGCATAGCAAGTGTTCGCTTTCCACCATGGCACTTTAAACTTTAAAAGGTTGGTGTTGCATTTTTCCAGCATTCGTGGCTTTTATCCCGTGATCTGATTCCTCCCTGACAGAATGGGAACACGCACTTTGTCCCGCCAACTACAGCGCAGAAAAACAGCTGTCAGGGTGAGTTCAGGGGTGAGGGACAGTGTTGGAGGGACCAGAAACCTGAAAAGGGAGTGGGGATGCAGGAGTAGAGGGATGAACAGTGCTCTCGGCAAACACTGCTCACCATAATTTATGATGTGACGCTGTGCTTTCCTATAGCAGGCACAACAGCAGTAAATGCATCCTGCTCTCATCATCCGTGCACCTTGGAGCTGGAGCACATCCCCTTCTCGTCCTGGTCAGCCCATGACTTCACCCCTACTCGTGTGCTATGGAAGCCTGAGCTGAAAGGATGACACAGGGGAACTTCTCCCGGGTGACTGAATTCATCCTCCTGGGGCTTTCTGATACAAGGGAGCTGCAAGTCCTCCTCTTCACTGTCTTCTTCCTGGCCTACGCCATGGTTCTGCTGGGGAACCTTCTTATTATTGTGACAGTCAGGTCTGACCCCAAGCTGTCCTCACCCGTGTACTTTCTCCTCTGCAATTTGTCCTTCATAGATATCTGCTGCACCTCTGTCACCTCCCCCAGGATGCTGGTAGACCTGCTCTCCCGGAGGAAGGCCATTGCTTTTGAAGACTGTATAGCCCAGCTGTTTTTCCTGCACTTTGTCGGGGCATCAGAGATGTTCCTCCTGACGGTGATGGCGTACGACCGCTACGCTGCCATCTGCAAGCCCCTGCACTACACAGCCATCATGAGCCGGCAGGCCTGCTGGCTCCTGGTGTCTGCCTGCTGGGCAGGGGGCTTCCTCCACTCCATCGTCCAGACGCTGCTCACAATCCAGCTCCCTTTCTGCGGCCCTAACAAAATCGACAACTACTTCTGTGACGTGCCTCCTGTCATCCGGCTGGCCTGCACGGACATCTATGTCACCGAGTGGCTCATGGCTTCCAACAGCGGCTTGATATCCCTGGCTTGCTTCCTGGTGCTGGTGACGTCTTACACCTTCATCCTGGTGACAATCAGGGTCCGCCTCACCGAGGGGCACTGGAAGGCCCTCTCTACCTGTGCCTCGCACGTGATGGTCGTCACCCTCTTCTTTTTACCCTGCATCTTCATCTACCTCCGGCCCTTTTCTACCTTCCCCTCCGACAAGCACATCTGTGTGATCTACACTGTCTTCTCCCCGGTGATGAACCCCCTCATCTATACCCTGAGGAGTAACGAGGTGAAGGCATCCATGTGGAGGTTGTGGAAGCGCTGCAGAGTCTTCTGAGACAAGCTGGGTCTGCAGCCAACCTGGGAGTTACTGTCCTACAGACAGATGGCAGATGGGGGCATGGGAACAGGGTTGGAACCCAACTTATGGTTGATATCTGAAACCCAAGAATCTACCTAACCTTGGTTTCTTCAGAGCTGTAGATTTCATTGGTACTTTTACCTGTCTTGTAGACTTTAAATGCCCTTAATCCACCTATGGAATTTTCACTGCTGCAGGACAGATGAAACATTTTAAAGATTTTTACTGTTCATATCGGTTTGGAATCATAATTGCATTTTCTGATGAACTAGAATGTTTCTGATCAATTAGAACATCCTTCTCTGCACCCTCAAAGAGAAGTCAGGAGGACCAAACTCTTGAGGACAGGGTGACAGTGGGATGCAGTGAGCTTTGTGATGCAGTGGGTGAAGAAGAAGTTTCTCTTGGGCAGAGCTCAGACGTTTGGGATGAATTCTAAGGGAAAAGGAATTATGTGGCAGAATATAGTAGAGTCTAAATAGCAACCATATGAGGACTGGATCTGCATGAATGGGAAACGAGCAGACTTTGAACATTGCTTGGAAAGAGTAAACCACCATTACACAGCAGAACTTGCACTAACATTGTTACTGTTTTTTAAGAAACATGGGGAAATTTGCAAGGCATGGGTAATTCTTTTCCCTGAACTACAAATCAGAAAGATCTGAACAACAGTGGTCTTTGTCTTTTCCCCTTGTTGTCTTGTCTTTGCTTTTCCATGTTTCTTTCCATGATGTTCCTCTATTTCTCATAAAAATGGATGGGCTCTTCCCATCACCGCAGCCATTTCTCTACCATGGCAAGTGATTACAACCCATCAAAGACATTTAAGATCCCTTATTAAGGTATCGCCTACTGTTACCACAAACACCTGGTTAGGAAGGAATTTTGGAGCCCGAGTGACTCCTCTTTCCACGTTGGTGAAAGAAAATAATTTCCTCTACTTCAGCTCCAAAACCATTAGGTGTGTGGGGAAAAAAACCTGTGCTGTCCACAGCGAGTGGCCAATTTTTAGACTGATTCTTGCTTTTTGGACTGCTGCTTATAGGCATTTTCTGAATTATCTGAAGTAACACAGGCAAAGTCAGTTTGTTTTTAAAACTGGGCTTACATTTAGCAAAGCATCACTTCAGGGCGATGTGGAACTAGAATATCCCAACCTGGAAATCCCAGAATAGTCTTACTCCAGCTTTGGTAACTCCCAGCACTGTGAAAATAAAAAGCAGCTCCAAAAAGGTTCGCAACAGGTTAATAATGGAACTTTTACACGTATGTAGAGACATCGGGAGATCAAGGGTCTATGGGGAAATCGGGCAAGTAACCCCATCCTTGTCAGACAGAATTACAAGTGGTTTCGGAGCAGCTTCTGCTTGGCTTGTCCCTGAACTGCTGAATCACACACCGAGGGTATTTCCCAAGTGACCCTGCCTGTGTTGAAATCCACTGTTCCAGCAGAACTGAGTGGCAGCTGTGAGGGAAGGGTTGGTCTTCTGTCATAATGAAGAAGCTGGAAATGCAAAACAGGTCTTTCACCACTGATTTCCAATTCCTGTGGAACACAGGTTTCACACTAACCAGTGTAACTGCTGAATCCCCTTCCACAGGAAGCAAGAATTAATCTTTTCTTTTTTTTTTTTTTTTTTTGACCTTAGTATGTATTATGTGGCAAAGACCCTTCTTGCCTTAACCCAAGAAGGTAGCTGAGGCACCATCCCTGGAGGTATTTAAAAGATGGGTAGACATAGTGCGTAGAGACACGGTTTAGTGATGGTTTTTATCAGAGTTAGGTTGTTGGTTGGACTAGATGATCTTAAAGGTCCCTTCCAACCCGGACAATTCTATGATTCTATATCTGACACAATATTCCAGGCTATATGGGGGAATGATGGGGTTATGTTCACATTCAGTCACTGGGATCCCCCAGTTTGAAGGACAAGGTGTGAGCTTTTGCTTTCTACCCTTTAGCTGCCTGTGAGGGAAGATGTGGGATCTCAGAAATAATCAGCTGTGTTGCCCATCTAATCTTTTCAGTTAAGGAGAGTGTGGGTCCTCTTAGAATGTCTATTCTAAAAGAAGATAAACAGTGCCCAAGAAGTGCTTTTTTTTATGACCAAAGAGGAAGTTTAGGCTGATGAGGTCAGATGGACTTCCTTCTGGTGCAGATTTGGGTGAGATAAATCGATGTGCTGATCTGTATTTGGAATAACTGGGGAAATTCTGTTGCTGAAGCTCGTAGCTCGAATGACACTGAGCTGTTTGAACAGAGAATATCTTATATCTCACTGTCACCTCATTAATATATAACACAATGGTATAGTGTTTAATGCAATATAGCACAAGATAATACTTTATCAACAACTAGCAGCAGTAAACAATAAATATCACAAACATCTACAAAATATAAGCTCCTCAAATTATGGAGATATATGTAACTGGCAAGTTTTAAAAAAAAATTATGAAAAATTGAAACTTTCTAAACAGTTTCGCTTGTGGGGAATTATAATTTTCAAAGAATTAAATCCAGGATGAGAATTTTCTCCCTCTCTGAGATACTGCTCCTGTCCTTTGCCACCAGATGGCAGAGGCATGTGTTTTAAGCGTCTCCAAATGCATACGCTGACACTGATGTTTACAGGTAAGTTAAACGGTGGAGATTTTGTTTGTAGGATTTTCTTTAGACATATATAAGGATGTGAATTTTTTTTACCTTTCAGGACATATTCTCTCACACCAATTATTAAAATCATACAAGGGACAATATATAGAGAGGAAGTGACACAATTCAACATTCTGTCTGGGGAGAGAGCAACAGTGTTTGAGGAAGAGGACTAAAGAGAAGCCGACAGGATTTTGTTCTGCGGTGTGTTTTTAATGACTGACATGTCCACCTTGCAGTAATTAAATTCCTGTACTCCTTTATTCTTTATGAGGGTAGCAGTTGTATCACCAGATCCATCAGAAGCTCAGTGTCTGCCATCAGAACACTGTAAGTTTCTTTGTGCTAGAATGATTTAGGATTTGATTCATCCCAACTAGGTTAGGGCATCCCACTGCAGCATCTCATTGTGAAGCATAGAGCCTCTCAATAGAGAAAAATAAACCTTTAAAGGGAAAAAAAATAGAGAGAATTGAGTGTGAAGAAGTTGGTGCCATCTGCCAGCGGGCATGTACAAGTGTTGTCTGAGTCTGAGCAGTCATCCAAGCTGCTGAGAGGCAGTCCTGGAAATAAGTCATCCTATCCTCAGGAAGAATCACTCTTTGAAAATGCTTGTTTCTTTCTCCCATATAGAATCAATAGAATCATAGAATTGTCTAGATTGGAAGGGACCTTTAAGATCATGTAGTCCAACCATCAGCCTAACTCTTGAAAAAAACAAGACAGAAAAAAAACCCCACCAACAAAAAAACCAAAACACACCCACATCACTGAACCATGTCTCTAAGCACTATGTCAACCCGTCTTTTAAATCCCTCCAGGGATGGTGCCTCCACCACCTCCCTGGGCAGCTCATTCCAATGCTTAATAACCCTTTCAGTGTAAAAAATTTTCCTAATATCCAAACTGAACCTCCCTTAGTGCAACTTAAGAGCATTTCATCTTGTCCTAAATATATATGTATATATATATATAAAAAAAAAAATATATATATAGAGGGAACCTGATTAAACAGGTTGTTCACACAAAGCTAAAACCCACTGAGGAAATCATCCTGTGTGTTTATCCCAATGATTTGACACATCCAAGTACGTGAAACAGTTCATGATAGAGATTGACTTCATGTGTCAGTGCACTGTGCAAAAAAGGCATTATGGCACAGTACAAAACTGTGGGCTTGGAGGGTAAAGGAGGTGGATTTCCAGAGCAGGCTTTTTTATGTTTGTATTTGCCATTATCTGTGTCTCTTACAGTAATTTTTCCAGAACTTCTTGTGTTGTGGGGTACTAACACCTCCACTGAACACTGAAAAATAACTTTTGCACCACTGAAGGCCACAAAGCAACCCCTCCAAACAGTGTAAGCACAGTTATAGGAGGCAGGTGGAAAAGCCTTCAGCTGCTGTAAATCAACACAAACCTAACCAGAGCCCCCATCCAGTTATTCAGCTGATGTTAATTTGTTCTGCTTCATTTGTTCAGCAGGTATAAATCAGGGGTATCAACACATCAGGGCTGGTCTAAGCTGGTGGAGCAAGTTCATGTTGGAGGGAGCCAAGAGGTGTTCCTGGAAGAAGGTTGGAGCTTCTTCTAGCAGAGAGTCAAAGTGTAGGTGAGCAATTTTGCACTTGTGGCCCTTGGCCAAGTGTCTTGATGGTTGGGGAGCCCTCTGTACCTTAAGAATGTTGCTGCAGCAGCTTGTGTACAGCTGGTGCAAATGGGTAGTGGTTCTTTTCTCAGCTGAGGGACCTATTTTTCTATTTGTGATGAGTCTATGTAACAAAAAAAAAAAAAACAGAATCACTTGTATTATCATCCAGTCTCAAGAAGCCTGTGGGGTTTTTGCAGCTTGTATTAAGTTAAAACCATTGCTTCTGGATTGGTAGTTTTTTAATTAGGTTGAATGGCTCTTTGTGTTTTTTCCAGGTGATTTTAAGGAAAAAAACAGCCTGAGCAGTAGGATCAGAGGGGACTGGGGTGGGAGACTGAATCTTTCTGCTCAGAGAGGCAGAAGGTGTGTAATGAGCCATCTTTGCTGTTACCTGAGAACCTATTCACAAATCAGGGTTAGCTATTTATGGGATATTTAATTAGTTTTAAGCTCTTCTGCTATGTAGTGTCAGCCCCTATTACCTGTATCCGCACAGTGATATTGGCCTGCAAAGGGCTCATTGGCCTCCCTGTAGACAGAGAAACTTGGTGTATCCACTCTAAATTGTTTCTCAGCACTCATATTGCTTTCTGCTGAACTTAATACCAGAAGTAGTAAATCTAAGAATGTTTTTTTAAAAGAGGAAGAGCTGTGGCAAATGCATAAGGGG